TTTTCCACTACTGCCTCCAGAACCAGCCAGACTGGCCTCAAATTTTCACTTTTGCTTTTGCATTCTCTGCCTGACTTGATGCAAGGGATGGGAAATCGATGGCACCACTGATGCTCTAAACTGCTGGGGGGGGGGTCTGCAGCAGCAGCCTCCTCCACTACTGGCACAGTCATCCTCCATGCTCTGATTGCACCCAGATTAAATTACTACAATGCACTCTACATGGAGCTGGTTCGGAAACCTCAACTGCTGCAGCCAGATTACCATCAGGAGTTGGATACAGAGAATATATCACTCCAATCCTAAACTGTTGTGTACCCAGAGAAACCGCACCCGCGGTTGGGTCCGCACATAGCCACGCGAATGGCCCAAGCTTCGCTTCCAGAGACAATAGCCCGAACGAATCCTAGGGCGCACCTACTGGACGGCTAGGATCTGAGAACTGACCTATGGGACTTGGGTACACTGTAAATATCCTATCACGGGTGCGTTTGGGTGTGGTTTGCTATGGGGATATAAGCCGGCCTCTGGCCCGGCTACTTCATCTCAAGTTCTCCTGTATATAATAAAGTATGAACTGAAATCACTCCTCCATGCATCAGTCTCAGTACTTTATATAAACTAAAGTCACTGGCTGCCAATCACCTTGTGGGCCTAACTCAAAGTGCTGGTTATTACCTTTAAATCCTTAAATAATCTGGCAACAGGATATCTAAAAATCACCTCCTCCCACAAAACCTCCCCTACAGGCCGTTCTCAGTGAACTCCCATCTGCAGAAGTTAGGTTGGGGGCCCGTCTCTGTTGGCAGAGAGTTCCATAAGTGGAGCATCACCATGAAAAAGGGCTTGTGTTCCCCAGCCTTACTTCTGCAAAAGCTTAGCCTTGCTTTTATTTAGATATACACAGCTATAAAGCTTCTTTTTACCCAGGCTTTTAATTTTTAACCGGAGAGTTTTATAGGCAGAGTTATTAACTGTACTTTCACATTTATATTTTAGTCTTTTTGGAGTTTTCTTTTATAGTTTTGTCAGCCACCTCGTGAATCAGGCAGGATGGAGAGAATGTGTGCATAAAATAAGTAAATAGCATGGATAAATAAGAGAATGCTGGACAATACTGATACTCTTGCCTAAATACAGCAAAGCAATTCTTGAGTTCATATAATAACATTTAAGTGCCTGCAAAGAGCTCCTCTTCCTGCCAACCTAGCAGTTCGAAAGCAAGAAATTGCAAGTAGATAAATAGGTACCACTTCAGTGGGAAGGTAACAGCATTCCGTGCACCTTGGTGTTTAGTCATGCCAACCACATGACCACGGAAATGTCTTTGGACAGCGCTGGCTCTTCGGCTTTGAAACGGAGATGAGCACCGCAACTCTAGAGTCGGATTCGACTAGCTTTCGAGCAAGGGAACCTTTACCTTTACCTAAAGAGCTCCTCTGTAAGTTATCGTCAAAGCTACATCTTGCAAGAGTCTGAGATTTATCAAAATGTACAACACAACAGAGCAAAAGTGATAAGGATATGTTAGTTGGCCTATCTTTGGACACTTAAAATACAGTGACTGGAACTGTGAATAGGCAAGACAGATCTTTTAAAACCTGAGAAGGACCCCAGGTTTGCATAGAGATGCAAAATTTCCGGAAATTTTGAAGCCCGGAAAAAAACGGAAATTTTCGGAAAAATTGAAAAAAATGCTACATTAGCACTTCTTTTGTCTTTTCTAGATTGAAAGTCATTCTGTTACTTTAGGAACATAAAATATGACTATGGACATTTTTACTTGGCATGAAATTATCACAACTAGCATATTAAAAATATAGTGTATCCAAACAGTTATTACAAACAGAATACCCGCCCACATGCAAAAACAAAACTGAAACCTTTTTCTTTTCTCGTGACAATAGCACCTCCTAAAGGAAGAAATGCATCTTGTTCTTGCATTGGAGAGTTCAGTTTGTAACCTAAAACTTGCTTGTCCTCAGTGCACAGAAATTAGATCAATCTGATACCGTATATATATATATTTTAGAAATGATTTGGAAAATATTTGAACACCTTGTCTTAAAATATTTTATTCATCATGTTAAAATAAAACGTTCCATAATCAATTTTCTTTTCTCAATTTTTCGGAAAAAAAACAAAAAAGGCTTCAGGAAAAAAAACGGTTTTTTTCCGATTTTTTCCCGAGCCTTCACATCTCTATACTGTTTGCAGAAAAATGTGAAATCTTTAAAAAAACAACACTGAGTGGTTTAAAAAATATGAAAATGCTAAAAGGAGCGCTTGCAGCTTTAAGCAATGGATTCCTTCAGTGGCTGTTGTTAGGCAACCACAGTATTCCAAGATGGGTTTATGTGAGGAAAAAGGCAGGGGGAGGAGGTCCTCTCCAGGTCTATTTTGGCCTTTGAGGTAGGATTCATAGGGGCCTCTTGCTGTGGAAGTTGACTGGGTGATTTTGGACCAGTCACATACTTTCAGCCTAACCTACATCACAGGATTGTTGTGCAGATAAGAAGGTGGAAAGGAGAATAATGTAAACGGCTTTGGTCCCCACTCTAAAGACAGACTATAGTTTTCCTAGGCAGAGGCTGCAGAGAGGGAGGCAACAGAAAACTGAAGACAGAAGGGCGGATAAAGGTAGGTTGGCTGTTGGGTGGGAAGAAGATAGCATTGCCGCCTCCAAGTTGGGAAATTCCTGGAGATCTGAGGTGTGGAGCCTGGGGACAGTGGGATTTGAGGAGGGGAGAGACTTTAGAGGGATATAATGCCATAAACTCCACCCTCCAATGCAGCCATTTCCTCCAGGGGAACTAGTGTTACCAATCTCCAGGTGAGGGCTGGAGATCACCCAGAATTACAACTGCTCTCCAAATTACAGAGATTAGTTCTCCTGGAGAAAATGGCTGCTTTGGAGAGTGGACTGTATGGCATTATACCCTGCTGAAGTCGCTTCCCTCCCAAACCCTTGCCCTCCCAACACTCCACCCCCAAATTTCCAGGAATTTCCCAACCTGGAGCTGGCAATACTAAGGGGACCTGATCTCTATGCTGGGAGATCCATTGTGATTCCTGGAAAGCTGCCCCTGTTACTGCAGCTATTGAGGGGAGGAAGCTGGTGGGTGGCTGGGAGAGTGATGGGGCTCAGAAAGAGAGAGTGATGGGGGTGAGGAGCAGAAAAAGAGAGGAAGTGACAGGCATGGAGAAGAGAGAGTAAAACAACAGGTGGTGGGAGGAAGAAAACGTGTGAGAGAGAAATATGGGGAAAGGGGAAAAAACAAAGGTGGGGGGAATCGGATAGCCGCTCTCGCAAGTTTCTTGTGGGTCCCTACTTGTCTATATATTATTAGCCACGTGTGGCCACCATCTGCACATTGGGGCCACATGGAGACTAAAGAGAAAAAATTTAGAAAACAACACGGGGGGAGTAATTCCCCCCAAAGAAAAGTAGCATTCCCTGTGCTTGCACACTTATCTCTAATGTTCATTGGTGGTACAGGGAAGCCATGCTGGGTTCAATAGTGGCTGCAAAGCTGGGAGCCTCACCGGGCCTGGTGGTGGTGGAGACCAGGAGCATGCTGCCAGCAGCAGTGCAAACCATGAGTTGTGCTGGGCCTGAGAGCAGGAAAAGGGGGAAAGGAAACCTTGGCAAGCCCACCTGGAGCAGCTCTGGGAGAGCTGCCAAGAGCAGTGGGGGAGGTGGGCCTGGCAGCTGCAGGGGAGCCCAGAGGCCACACTGCACCTGGTGAGAAAGTGGGGAGAGATGGGATTCCCCCCCCAATGAGTAGCAGGCCCCCTCTTGTAACATTTCTATTATACAAAGTGATTATCTTATTTATCCTTATAACATGAGCAGGTGCCAGTCACTATAGTGTCTTCTGGTCAGTTTGTGTCCTGATGTGGCAGAACATTGTCTTGCTCTAGGACAACCAATGTTTCTGTTCTGAATTTCACTTTGGGCTCAGTCTGAACCAGAGTTAAAGGACTATAACTTTTTTCAGTTCCACAGCTGAGTCCTTGAAAATAGGAACAAACAAACAAGAAGTGCCTCCGTATTCATTTTAAAAAAGGAGTCTTGGAGCACCTTAGATTGATGGATTGCCTTCAAGGGATATCGTCTGCTTCATCATATGCACAAAATGTGACCTCAGCATTTCCTGTGTAATACATTGCATCTTAGCTAGTTCTTACTACATTTGATTATCTTTGGTCAAACCTTACTCAAACATGTTGTGAAACACTTAAAACACAGAGTTTAAGATTAGCAATAAACCTGTTAAAGCGCTAGAAGACACACACACGCCCCCGCGACAGACTCCTAGCACCAACCCACAAGAACTGGTAACTGTTCAGAATTTATGAAGCCCAGCATACATGCTGGCCACCAACGCATGCATTCCATTGTCAAAGCTTTTTAACGCGTAGTTATTGGTAAAGGGTGGCTGACCACAGCCTGACTTAGATAGACAATTTACTCAGGGCTCTTGTCTCTTGCACCGTTGCGCAGAACAGAGGATTCTAGGCGCAGGCCAACATCTTAGGCAAGCGGTGCAGCGCTGAGAAAAGCTGCCCTTCAGAAATCCCCGCGTCTACACAACGACTAAGAGCACGGGAGCCCTGTCCTCGCCGCAGACGGATGTCGAAAAGTCTTTCGGCGGCGGGGGTTACTCGGTGGTGGCACCAATCGAGCGTTCAGATCAAACGAACCGCGGGCGAAAGTTTCTAGAAACAAACCACCGAATTCACTTTTCAAAAAAACCGATTGGGTAACCGCGTCTTCTGCTCGGCCGCCCTTTGACCCTTTCCTCCGCGCGCTCTCTCGATCCCTGCGCCCACTGACCTGCTGCAGCTGGCTGCGAAGCGCCTGCCGCGTAAACGCACCGGGGGAAAGAAAGGGGATCTTTCCGATGCCTCCGGCCGCTCAGCGGCACCTGCAGCAGAACTTACCCTTCCCCCCCCTCCGGCTCTGCGCTGGCCTCGCTTCCCTTCCCGCCACTCACCCGCGTCGTAGAAGGCGTCCAGCACGGCCGTCTCGCCGAAGTCCAACTCGCCAAAGTTGACCGTGGTCAGCTGGGCTCCCTCGGCCTCGCACGCTCGCACCAGACACTGCAGCGCCCCGGCTTCCGGGCTCCGCGCCCCGGCGGCGCCTTTGGGGCTGTTGTTGTCGTTGAGCACATAGACGGCTCGCAGCGAGCGCTGCCGCCACCCCGGCCCGTTGCCCTCCCCGCCGCCGCCGGCTGTGGTAGCTGTTGCTGCGCCCGGCGCCGCCTCAGAGGCGGCAAGTGTCTCGGGACCCCCGCTCGGGGGGCTGAGTCGCTGCTCAGAGTCCCCGCTGGCGCCCTGTTGCTCCCCGGCCCCTGAGGCGCCGCTGCCCACCGAGGTTTCCATGGGGCTCGCTCGGGCGGCCGTGCTACATGAGGCGGTGATCTCTCTGCCCTTGGAGGTCGCTGCTGCGGCCGGGACCCCGGCGCCTGCCTGCGGGCGCGCAGGAGAGCGCGGCTGGGCCAAAGCAAACTTCTCTCGCGCCAGCTGGAGAGCGCCTCGCCTTCGGGGCCGGCAACGCCTAAGGAGCGCCTCTCCCTGCCCACCGAGGCTGAGCTCCGGGAAGCTCCTGCCGAGCTTGTGTCCCTTGGCGCAGCCGGCCGGAGAGCGCGCCAGGCGCCCTGCTCCCGAGAGGCCTGTGCTGGCCCGGGCTGGGACTGTCAGCACGGCGGCGGCCCCGCTCTGCACGCCGCTGCACAACTTCTGCGTCCTGCACTCATCAAACACCTGCGTCCTGTGTTACTGGCTCCTGCCGCAATAAATTAGATTGATTGATTGACCCGCGTCCTGCACTTATCAAACGAGGTGTTGAGGGGTGGGTGGGACCTCAGGACCCCGCCCCCCTTTCCTAGACAGTGGCATTCGAGTGACCGGGTCGGTGGAGACTGGGAATTTTAGTTGCATGCCAGCTCTACACCTGATGCCTCTGACAAAGAGGGCTCTGGTGAGCTTGTGCCACAAGTAGCCCTTAGTTTTAAAATGTCACAAGATTATTTATTATTCTGACCATATCTAGAACATGGCCCTTTTTGCACTGCCAGCTTGCTCTCCTAGAATCTGAGGAGTCAAGCCTTAAGCCTTGACTTCACAGTCCTACACATTCCCTCTGCATTGGTTTCTTCCCCTCCGGTTTATTTACTTGTGTATTCTGTATGCATCCAGCATCTACAAGCAAAACCCACATTTTTTGAGCTAACTGGCGGCCAACTGCCCCCCCCCCAATTCTGCAAAAAGAAAGGGCATCCAGGCCCACACATGCAAGATCCATACATTTGGCAGCAGCAGGGAATCCCCTAGTCCTTATATTTACTGATGATTCCTTCTTATGCTCTCTCTGGCTTTTTAAAAGTTTGCCTGAGTGAGAGAACACCTCCTCTTTTGTCTTTGGAGAAGGAGGGAAAGAAAACAGAACAGGGAGGGAGTGTCAACCTGAAGAGAGAGAGGCTGAAACGGGGGAGGGCAGCGGGCAGCACTTAAATATCTGCAGAAACAATTCTAGTTTAGAAAGGATTAGCGATTCGAAAGCAAATGAGAACGAAGAATTGCAGTTTTAGTAGCTGTGGGGCAACAGTCTGAATGCAGATTCCTGTAAAACAAATGCAGAAACGACAGAAAACCCCAACACAAAGTGGAAGTGAAAGCGGGAGAGAATGCAGAACGGAAGAATGGGGTTGTGCTCAGAAACCGAGGCAAAATACGGGTGCAGAAAGGGCCTATATTAGAGGGCTGGTATTTTTAACCAAATTTTACATAATTGGGGGGTGCACACTTTGATTTTCAGATGGTCAGTTGCTTAAGGAGTATGGGTTTCCATCTTCAAAGATGGGAAAATGCAAATCCATTTTGCTAGAACCAACATCTGCACCTAGGACAAGCAGTTCAGAGCATTGCACCTACTTGACTGGAAGGCCAGATTACATATATTGTAAACGGGTCATTTCATAGAAAAAGAGCTGCAGGAGCTCATTAGCATAACTTATTAGCATATGCCACACCCCCTGACATCACCGGAGGTGTGCACCAGCCCCTCTGACAGGCAGAAGCACCTGGGATCCATTCTTTCCCCCCCTCCGTTCCCTTCGCCTCCAAGTGGGGCGAAGGAAAAGGGGAGGGGGAGGATCTCAGGCGCTTCTGCCTGACAGAGGTGCTGGCGTGCCCACAGCCAGCCTGGGTGAATTATAGAATCATAGACTCATAGAGTGGGAAGGGACCTCCAGGGTCATCTAGTCCAACCCCCTGCACAATGCAGGAAATTCACCAATAACCCACACACACACCAGTGACCCCTGTTCCACGCCCAGAATATGATAAAAAAAACCTCTAGGATCACTGGGGGCCAAACTGGCCTGGAGAAAAATTGCTTCCTGGGCCCAAAGTGGTGATCAACATTTCCTTGAGTTTGTAAGAAAGGGCCACAAGAACTAAGCACTGATGCAACCCTTCCTGCTCTACCTCTCGTGATTTGCCTAAGTTCACACAATCAGCATTATGATCCTTTTAAAGTTGAAAGCATGATATAAATGCAAAGGACTATTTGTAAGATTATCTGTAAGACACAAGACCAGGACGCATCTCCCTTCTGGCAATCACCTGGAGAGACCCTATCACTCAGCTTCCATTGCCCCCCACACACCCCACACTGGAATAAGAACATAATATCAGACCATAGCACATTGCAATAAAGTCCCTACAACTGTATACAGAAATACTGAGCTTCCCTACCATTTGCCACAACTAGCCCACCACACAACCAGGATCAAGACTCCTAAGTGGACCAACAGACAGGCATACACTCGTTTGAGAAACTGAGTATTACATTACAACACCTCTGGAACATTACAGATCAGTAGAGGCAGCACTGCACAGTGGTCAGAGTTGCAGATTGATGTGGGGAGACCCAGGTTTGTATTCTCACTCTGCTGGCTGAGTGACCCCGGGCCAAATCTCCCCTTCTCTACCTAACCTACCCCACAGGGTTGTTGTGAGGGTAACACACACACAATTTTTAAAAAGGTGTTCAAAAGT